TGTCGGTGTGGCCCGAGCCTGTGCCCTCCCCACCTGGCCCACCCTGGCAAGGACAGGTGTGGCCAAGGACGAAAGCCCTCCCTTGGCTGGCCTCATGATGGGGCCATCCCGGGAGCCAGCTGGGAGCTGCCTTCCACTGCCATCGGGCCTCCTCTGCTCTCCCATGCGGCTGGCCCTGCCCAGGCACCGCCTTCGGTCTCAGTCTGGCAAGACGCTGGGTCTTCAGGCTCCATGCCAACAGAGCCCCTGGTGCAATGCAGTCACAGGTTTTATGGGACTTTGGTGAGCTGGGCAGTCATGGTTTTGAAGTAAATGTATTTTGTTACTTTCTGATTTGTTGGAGTTTCTCTGCTTCATTGGACCGTTTTCTCTGGGAGCCTGCAGCTGTCTGATCTCGAACCACTCCGTCTCCAAGCCTTTGTTTCCCTGTTGCCAAGTGGCATAAGAAGATCAGATGAGAGTGCCCACAGAGCCTGGGTACCTCCCAGTGGTGATAGGAGTGAGGGGCTACATGGGGTGTAAGGTGAAGAGGGTGCACTGTGTAGGGGGTGCTAAATTCTGGCACTGACAACTTGGAGAACATCTACTCTTTCACCCTGACCTGGGCCAAAGACTGAAGCCCACACCAGCTCAGCCAGGCCTTGGGCCTTGTGCTGCCTCCCACCTTCGTGCGTGTGTGACTGTGAGTGTGCATGAGTGTGTGTGTATATGAGTGTGAGAGTGTGCATGTGTACATGAGTGTGTGAGTGTTGTGTGTGTGTGAATGTGTGAGTGTGGGTGTGTCTTGGGCCATTTGTCTCTGAGCTCCCCCAGGGCTGTGTCCAGAGGCCCTGCCAGCAGGAATGGGGTGGCCAACTCCAGTGGACCTGGGAAGGGGCTGCTGCTGCCACTGGTTTCCCCATGAGGCCTCCCCTGGCCTGGGCCCTTCCCCCACAGGAGGGACACACAAAGCCCAAGGCCTTGCACCATTTCCAGGGCTCCCTGGGTGCTATGGTTTGAATATTTGTCCCCTCCAAAACTCATGTTGAAATTTAATCCACAATGTGGCAGTCTTGAGAGGTGACCCAACCATTAAGAGGCAATTGGGTCATGAGAGTTCTGCCCTCACGGATCAATTATTCCATAGGTAGATTAATGGACTGATGGTTTAATGGATTGATGGGTTGATGGATTAATGAGTCACCATGGGAGTGGGACCAGAAGCTTTATAAGAAGAGTAAATGAGACCCGTGGTAGTGTACTCAGCCCCCTCGCCACATGATGCTCTGCACCACCTCCAGACTCTCCAGAGCCCCCGTCAGCAAGAAGGCCCTCACCAGATGCAGTCCTTAATACTGGGACTTTTCAGCCTCCATAACTGTAAGAAGTAAATTTCTTTTCTTTATAAATTACCCAGTTTCAGGAGCTCTGTTATAAGTAACAGAAAAGGGACTAAGATACTGGGCCAGAGCCCTACTGTTTAGCAACAGGCTGAGGAGGGAAGGGTGGGGCCTTGGCCACACTGGGGCCACTGTCTTTGTGAGGGGCTCCCTGGCCCTCACAGGCTCCCTTAGAGGCCACACACGCTGTGTTCTAGGCCACTGTGTGCAGTTGTTGCACACCCATTTCGATGACACATGCCTTTGTTTCCAGCTCACTCAGCTCCCACACAGCCCCCGATGGGACCTGTTTGCTGAAACTGACACCAATCCGAATGTCTCATTCCCAGGTATCTCACAATTAGATGTGCCCTACCTCCTGCTGTCATGTCCTCAGCGTCTGGACATGCTGGCACTTGTCACATTCACAGTCCCTTGTGTGGGCAGCTACTCCACTGCTCCCCCACTGATGTCCCCATGTGCAGACACTGCAGGCACCCAGTGTCACACAGGTGCCATATCCACCATATGCAGCCCTGCACCCTCTGCTGTGTGTGCAGGGCCACAGCCCAGGCCCTCGAGGACTGAGGGAGTTGGGGCAGCTCTGGAGGCTGTTCTTGGGGAACTCCACCTGCTCTGGCCTGTTTCCTCTCTGGCTGGTGCCAGAACATCTGTGTCCTCACAGATCACAGGATGACCACCCTGTGGGGTCCCAGCTGGATCACTAGAGGATCCAAGAAAGACAGAGTCACATGTGCAGAGCTGGACAACACAGGGGGGTGCCCAGGTGGTTCTCCATCTGGGACCTCCTTCAGGCAAGTGATTGTCAAAACCATAGTCCAGTGCCCACAGAGGGCTGATGGCACAAACCCAAGGTCACGCAGCATTTTAACTTCCTTGACATTGTCTTTTACTTCCCAGGTTTTCAGTCTCTTCAAGTTGGACAGTGCTGGTGGGACACTTCCCAGGATGGGATGCCATTGCTGGTTTGGGTTACAGACTTCTTTAAAATAAGTGTAAGTGTTCTTTTGCTTTTTTTCTGGCTTTCACTGTCAGGAAAATGTTAACCAAAAAATTTTCTGCAGTTATGGGGTAGGGTTTTTTTGGTTTTCTTTTTTTTCAGTTTTATTCTGTGTCTTTATCATCCAGGCAGCTTCCTGAGAGGGATGTTTCCAATGCTTAAAATTTAAAATAAATCCCTGGTTTCTCACAAACAGTGAGATTTCATGCATTATTGTTTTAGAAGCACAGCTGAATGCATCTGTGGGCTTCAGCAATGAGTGCGACAGCAGCAGGGTGAAGGCAAGGCCCAGGGCTGCTGAGTGCAGCTCCAAATGTGTGTCACTAGCACACTCCAAGGGGTCAGTGGGCCCAGATCTCAGGATGCTGCCTTTCCCCATCATGCTGCGGCTCCTGCATGAGGAAAAAGGTGTGGCTGTCTGGGACAAAGGCTTGACGACAGTCGTTTAAGGTGTTTTCTGTTATCTAGAGGAAGGGGCTCAGGGCTGGTGGGACAGATGCTCTATCAGGCCACTTGGAGCCCAGGACCCTTCTCTTCTGTTGCTCCCCAGTCTCTAGGGCCTGGCCCTTTTCCATGAGAGTGAGCCATTCACTTTTCAAGTATCCCAGTGTCGAAGGGAAAAGAAGGGCACCCAAGTTTGCTTTAAAGACACAAATTGGACGGTCCATTCCATTTCCAGTGCAATGCCATTGGCCTGAATCTACCTCACTGCCATTCTCAGTGGCAAGGGAGTCTGGGACCTGACAGCCAGTTTTAGGTCAGGTGCGTCAATGGGCTCCCTGGCATCTGCAACCCTCCCACAGGCTCCCTCTGACCACCAGGCCTCTTGGCCTGAGCACAGGAAGGTTGGGTGTGCAGGAGTTAGTGCCCCCTGGGAGCAGTCCTCACCCACATCTGATGGAAGTCGGGGGATAAATGTTTCAGATTTTATCCCTGCATGAAGGACACTGAGACACAATCTGCATGGTGCCCAAGATTTCCCCACAGGGACTGGGCAGCAAATGCCCTCAGTGGCTGCTGTGGACTGAATTATGTTCTCCCGAGTCTTATGTGGAAGCCCTCACCCACAATGTGATGCTATTTGGCAATGGAGCCTTTGGGAGGTGAACAGATTGAGATGAGGTCATGAGGGTGGGGTCTCCATGGTGGGATTACTAATCCCACCTCAAAAGAAGAGCCACTGGAGAGTCCTCTCTGTCTCCCTCCCTGCCTCTCCCTCTCACACAGGGAGAAGGCAGCCATCTACAAGCCTGGAAGAGAGCCCCTATCAGAGAACCAAGGCATTCAGTACTTTCACCTTGGACGTCCAGCCTTCCTTGGAACTGGGAGAAAATAAACATTGTTTAACTACTCCCAGCCTATGGTGTTTGCTACGGTGGTCCCAGCAGACTAAGCTGTGGTTGCCAGCTCAAGAGCACATTCCTTGTCCGGTTCGGTCCCTTCCCTGTCTCCTCCCTACTTCTCTATGAGCTAACTGGGATTGTCCCTCACATAAACTACTCACACTCCATCCTTGCTTCCAGAGCTGGTTCTGCAGGACTCAGGCAAAGAGGGAATCAACCATAATTCCATGACGACGTGCTGATTTGCTCCACTGGTCTTAAATGCTAGGTTAGTTTGGATTCTTTTCTGTGGCAATGCCGACGTGTTGTTGCATACCCTCCTCCTGCATGGGTGTGAGTGTGACTGCAGGTTAAACTGCTAGGAGAGGGTCCACACCCCCCAATGCACCTCCACCGTGCCTTTTCCTTTCCACCTGTGGATCTGTGTTTGACTGTAACTGCTCACAGCCTAAGGGCACATGGGGACCCAGATGGCCTCACTGAGAGGCAGGGCATAGGGCCTGTGTTGCTATCTGGGCCGCTGCATGAGCATTTCTAAAGTTTATGGAGTAGCTGTGCTTAGAGAGTATTGCTGCACCATCCCTCTCCTGTTAAACATTTCAGCTGTCGCCCGCTCCTCGGCAAGGGCTTCCATGTGGTGCAGCTTCCTGGGGGCTCATTTTCTTCTTTGTAGGAATAACATGCACATAAACCTAAACTTGGTGCACAAGGCAGGGGCTGCAAACACATCCTGGCTGCCCTCAGATTCTTCCTTTAAACGCCCAAGAGAGGAGGCATGAATTAAAGACCATGTATGTTTTTATAATTGACTCTGGATTCAGGTAATGAGTTACCAACCTTTTCTACAAACCACCACCAGCTTTGCTATCACGAGTGGAAGAGCAGGCAGCCAGCACTTCCGCCTGCTCCAGCCCCAAAAGCTCTGGACCCTGCATGTAGTGTAGATGTGGACCAGAGGGAACCTGGAGAGGCTGGGAACTATCTGGAAAATGGTCTGGCACGAGCTGGTAAAGGAGGCGCTCAGGAGCCCTCCGACCAACCAACCAGCAAATCCTATCCTGGGTGGGGGAGGGGAGAGAGTACACCCCAGGGGATGGGGACAGGAATACCTAGAGCAGCAGCACCCACTGTACCACAAAATGGAAACAACCCAAACATCTACCCAAAAGAGAATGGACACATCATGGAATGAGAAACAGTGGAAAATGAAGGAACTACAGCGGTAGCATCATCATCCCATGACTCTTAGCAACTTGCTGTGGAGGGAAAAAGTTGCACGGAGTTTGATACCATCTTACATAACTGAAAAAAGCAAACAATGTGTTATTTCAAGTGGCGTGTGCAGCCACTGAGTGCAGTGGCGTGATCTCAGCTCACTGCAAACTCCACCTCTTGGGTTCAAACCATTCTCTTGCCTCAGCCTCCGGAGTAGCTGGGATCACAGGTGTGCGCCACCATGCCCAGCTAATTTTTGTATTTTTAGTAGAGACGGGGTTTCACCATGTTGCCCAGGCTGGTCTTGTTAACTCCTGGGCTCAAGTGATCCACCTGCCCTCAGCCTCTCAAAGTGTTGGGATTATAGGCGTGAGCCACCACGTCTGGCCAAGATATAAAGCAGGGAGAAAGATGTGGTGACCTGATGGGCAGGGGAGGAGGAACTCAGGAGGGGGGGAAGTGGGGGAAGGAGCACCCAGCAGGGGTAAGGGCGGGTCTCTTTCCCTGGTTATGCTGCATGGTAGACATGCGTTGCTGTATTTTGCTGATATCAAACAGCGCATACATTACACCTCAAGAGACAACCTCCTCAAGGCTTATACAGTCCAAATGAAGATCAACCTGGTTCCCATTTCCACAGGAGGGGACCCTAGGGGTCCCTGCTTCCTGCAGGTCTGCGGGTGCTGCTGGAAGCTGTACTCTACCCCCAGGCAAATGCTGTGAGTCCCCTGCATGAACCTGAGGCCCCACCTGGAGAGGGAGCCTGGAGTCTTGGCTGGGGCGGCACAGTGCGGCCTGGCTGCCCTTCCCTGAACACCACAGATGTGACTCCAGGGTCTGCTTCTTGCAGGTTGGGAACCCATTCCTGTCCTGCCCCCAGGGCCTGGGAAGCCAACCCCCTTCAATCTTTTCATCATAAGGGTCCTCACTCCATCTCCTGAGACAATAAAGCCACTTGCCCACCCCACTTAGTGGGGTCCCCCACCCACTCCCTCTCCAGGGAGAGGGCTGCAATTAGTGTCCTGATTTTATTTACCCTCCCAAGGACTCCAAGGTGACTTTCTAGCCCCTCTCTGTAGAACACAGTGGGGGACCCTTAAATCTTCAGTAGGCACCCCGCTTCCCAGTGCTGCTGTCTTGCTTTCCAAAGGCATCACCAGCCTCCAGTAGCCACACCATGCGCCTTACATTACTGATGTTGTAATACAGGAATACGGCATTAGGCTCATATATGGCAACCCATAAAATGGTGTGCCTCTTTCTCGGTGCTGTCCCCAGGGTCCCCATTCTCCTCCTCAAAGGTAATGATTGCTGCCTGCTCCTCATCCACAGCGCGCGCGCGCGCGCGCGCACACACACACACACACACACACACACGTTTTTAGTACACACAAGATGGCAGCATATCAGACACACTCTTCTGCTGTGCTTTTTAACAAAAATTGTAATAGACCTGTAGATCATTCAGGTCAGTCTATAAAGAGCTGCCTCTACATTTGAATGGCTGCCTAAGATTTCTGGGAGTAGCTGTATAATTTAGCAGCTTCCTGTCAGTGTTTAGGAAACGGTTTAGCTGCTTTCCAATCCTTTGCTGTTTCCAGCAGTACCGGAGTTAACAGCATTTACTTACTTGTGTGAGTGTACATTTGGGATAAAGTCCTAGAAGTGACATTCACACTCTTTAATTCTGACACCAACTCTGCAAGATTAAACATTATTACAACAATTTTAGAGATGAGAAAATGAAGGCTCAGAGAGGCAAAGTGATCATTCCAACTGGAAGTGGGGTGGGAACCCGAAGTTTATTAGCTTGGCGTAGCTTTTTGGGGGGACCGCAAAGTTCTCCTGGTCTATGATGGCCATGAAGGCTGACTGCTTCACTAAAGTCTCTGTGGCCATTGCCCAGAGCCTGCCAAGGAGAAGGTGGCCAACAAGGAGGCCACACAGAGCCCAGGCTCTAGGAGCGGCCCCTGGATGGCCCTTTCGCCTCGCTGGTCTGGGGGCCGGTAGCTTTAGTGTGCGGGGCGGACAGCAGGAAGGCGAGTTGTCTGGGGAAGCGGCGACTCAGCAACTTGAGTTCCCAAAGGTTGCACAGTGGAGGTGGCAGTGGTGCTGGTAGTGGTGCCGGGCAGGAGCTGGACGGTGATATAAAATCTGAAGCCCTGAGCCTAGAGAAGCCACACAGAGCCACACCTGGCCTTCAGGATCCCTGCTGGCTGCAGCCATTGCAGCCCAGAGAAGTCAGTCAGGGTCACATCTGGGAGGGCTCCAACCAACATCTGCTCCCAACCAGGCTCGGCCTGGCCCCTCCACACGGAGCGGCTGCCGCCTGGTGTCCCAGGAAGCCATGGGGGCACCGCACACTCACACACCCACGCAGGCTCCTCCAGCCGCCCGATATCCAAGCCAGAATCTAGAAGCCCCCCAGTGCCTCCTGGGCCCCTGGCCCATAAGTGGCTGGGGACATGGTCTCGAGTCCTGCCCATCCACTAAGAGAGCTTTATTTTTAGCGCCTGCTGGAGGCATACCTCTCTGCCACGCCAACCTGAGTGTGAGGCCATCCTCTCTCTCCCACTCCTTCCAGCCCATCTCCCAGCAGCTACATGCAGGACCCAGCCTGCCACCCGCAGGCTTGACTGTCTCTGCAGCTCCCCCACAGGACGGGTGGGAAAGCTCCCTTCTGCCTGCTCCCCACTGTTTTGCTGCCATTTGACCAAGGCTGACACCCACAGCCCCTTCCCTAGCTCTTGTGCTCATGGGCCTGGCTGTAGAGATGTGGAAACTCACCAATGCCCACTCCTCCAGCCCTGGCATGGGACCGACTCCCCACTGTGACTGGGCTCTGGGAGCCGCTCAGTCCCTGGTCAATTATCTCTCCCCTATCTCTGCTC